CCACTATAACGCACAGTTGCAGTGAGTTATGAGCAGCTACTATCAAGTGAGCCTCCTACTTCCTCTGCTGCCTCTCCACTCATCTCACTCTGGAGCGCACCTCAGGCGCTATTTATGCTGTTCAGCCATCAACGCTGGACCCAATAGGAGAGGGACTTGAGCGCCTGTCAGAATGAAGGTGATGTAACCTGAAAGATTTTAACACGAATCTCGGACTTTTTTTGTATCCTCAAGGAAGATTAGACAGTAAGCTTCCCTCCTGTTTGAAAAGACTGCTTACTTGTGCGTCTCTGCGTGCGTGTTTGCGCGTTTTAGGAAAATCCCAACAATGTAAAGTTTGATAACAAGTTGTTTAAAGATATAATTAATCTTAACAGCTTAAACTCAGGAAGCCACGAGCCACCGATCAGGCCGCACTGGACCTGTAAGTCCAGGTCAATGTCCAGCCATACGTGGAGCAAACTAAAATATCATGTTTACAAAGTATTCCCACTTTACGTTATTATTATATGTTACACGTTATTTTTTCTGTTAATCAGAAACTACACTTAAAGTTATAAGCCAGCTCAAGACATATCCCAGCTTTGCCTGCAATGATTCCCTGAGATCCCCACGGAGGAAAGTGAAGTCGGTCGGTTAGGTAAGCCACGCACCCGGCCAGAAAAGTGATACTTCCACGCGCAAATCGTTACGCGATCACGTTTCTTCCTAATTAATATAGCCTAATTACCCTTTAATTACAATAATAATAATAAACAAAACAGGCGCACACGAATCGTCTCCATTGTGAACACGTTCATTGCCGCTTTGCAGCTCCCCCCACACCTCAGGCTATTGTTTACACCTCTTCCAGGTTGTGCAACCTTTGCCAGCAGCCTCTCACTTGTGCTTGTTTTGTGGGCGTGTCTGAGGAACAAACAGCTGATGGAAGAATCCTTTGTAGATTCTAAGGATAAAACAAATACGTGAAAAACACCTCCGGGGAAATGTCTTCTCCAAATGTAACAATGTGCCCAAAAAGGCAAGAAAATCACAGATAAAAAAGGCACTCTGCTTTTTCAAGAGTATTAAATGATTGATGGGCTTTAACGCTGGCTCGTTTAATACAAGGCAACATTTTTAATATAAAACTACCTGCACTGGAACAGTCAAATTGAGAAGCTGACCAATGGCAAAGCTCTATTTGGGCGACGTTTCACAATTAAATTAAAACTTGTGTCTTGCATTTTGCCTGTAAAATAAAAATAAATAAATGAACAAAGAAGTGGCCTTCAATCGACTCTATATCATTTTATGATTTTTTTTCATAACCTCCTGGGACAGAACAGTGTCTGTTATACACCCTGAAGCAAAGTGCTGGGCGGGAGGTTCAACGCCACAGGCGCTCTCTGATCGTGCTTTGCAAAATGAAGTGTTCGTGCCCTCTGCTGGTCAGATGGCTGCATAACGCCACCTGTAGCACGGAAGTCGGGCAAAGTAGCGTTTAGATTAATTAAAAAACGAAAAGAAAAAAAAAGAAACAATATAAAATAATGTATTAAAATAAGGCCAGGTAGGTCTACACCAGAATACGTATTATAGCGTTGTCTTACCTTTAAAGCGTTTGTTATTACAATAATATTCCTTGCAGCAGTCATAGAAAATAGTTGTTGATATATTAACCTATAAATTTAAGGGAGCATTTATCCAAGAGCATTATTACAGCGGGTTTTGCTTAACTTTAGTTTTGAATACATCGCTATAATTTATCCATCAGGCAGTCGGAAGGACGCTCCGCAGAGGTCCTAACGCTTTTATCCCGCACATGCGCAAATGAAAAAGCCTCTTTCTCGGTGATCGCAATGGCGGACGCAGAGTGAGTGTTTCCCTCTGTGTTAAAATCTAATCACATCCAGCATTAAACTAGCCTCTGCTGTTAATTTTACAACGCGAATGAGCTATTTAGTTCATGTACGATAGAATAATAGCAGTATTGTTACAGATGGTGATTATTACTGTTGTTAAGGGTACTTTATAATAACTGAGTCCATATAGCCGAGTTCAACATGGCTGTCTCTTTAGCATCTGTGGATTATTACAAGTGTCCAGTTCTTGTGGTTAAAAAATTAGAACTAAAATAATAGTCAGCTATTTCAGCAACCTTTGCGTTTATGCTGCTGTAAAACCTCTCTAGTCTCGAGCTATTGTATGAAGTAGCATTTACCTGTGTGGAAGCCGGCAAGTGACTGGCAAAGCTAGCAGCCCCCATGATTCAGTCATCGTTTCTGTTGAGCGATGTACATGTGTTCAGGTATCTTGTCCACCACCTCGCTTCGGATTTTTTCCTTACAACATATTTTTTTAACGTTTAAACAGAAAAAAGGTTCCGGCGGTCCCTGAGAGCCTTTTGAAAAGGCGAAAGGCCTACGCGGCCATGAAGGCCATGCGTGTCAAGAAGCTGCTGGCTGAGAAAAAGGTAAAGTGAAGCTCTGTGCAGACAAGTATTCCCGTATGGATGGAGATATCGGATAGAGCTTTGAACTGCTTCGACGTGTTTTCCCTTTTGCATTCAGGTCCGCAAGGTGACCAGGAAACTGATCTACAAGAGGGCTGAGAAGTACCACAAGGAGTACAGGCAGATGTACAGGCGTGAGATACGAATGGGCCGTATGGCTCGCAAAGTGGGAAACTTCTATGTGCCTGCTGAGCCCAAACTGGCCTTTGTCATCAGGATCAGAGGGTGAGTGATGCGCACTGCTTGGGATCTCTCTGTATCTGGCTTAAAAGAACTGCACAATCAGTTGTAAGGTGTTGTGCAGGCAGTGCCACATGAGAGGATGTCCAGCAGCTGAGCCTCATACATTACTACTTTGTGTTTAGCTGCTCAGTTGCTTGTTAATTCAGTTGCTATTTAAAAGTCATTTTTATTGAATGATTAAGCCAGTCCTTGTGGATAAATACAGTTGAGTGGTTAATGATGCATGCTCTTTCCCCGACTTATCGACTCTGCTGATACACATTTGTAATAAAAAGCCAATAATGTTCTGAAACCACTCTAAGCAGCTTAATTAGGAAGTTGTACTTTGATGGTAAGTCCAAACAGTAATCACAACATTTTTTGTTTGTTTGTTTTTTCAGCATCAACGGTGTGAGCCCCAAGGTCCGCAAAGTTCTGCAGCTGCTCCGTCTGCGCCAGATCTTCAATGGTGTCTTTGTCAAGCTGAACAAGGCTTCAATCAACATGCTCAGAATTGCAGAGCCTTACATCGCTTGGGGGTAAGGACTGTGTCACTCTGAAACCTGCTGTTCAGAAATAAGAAGCGATGGTGGGGGGTATTAGCACGTCTCTAAATAGGTGATACACTTGGAATGTGGTTAATGATGCTGAACTTTTTTCCCCATCTTATCGACCATGGTGATTACTGACTGAAACTAAGCCAGTTTTGTCTGAAACCACATTCCATAGTGGTACGTGCCAGTGTGTTGACAAATGTGAGTGTGTTGGCTTCATACTGTAATGATGCAGCCAGAAACTTTTGTAACCTGGCTTTTACTACAGTGGTCATTCACTGACACTTGAAATCAACACATTAAAGTACTGTTCAACAGTTTATAGAAAAATAAGCCAGTGTCAAACTAAACGCAGTAAATGCTTGGCTATATTTCACAAAGCTTTAATGTCTTGATGTTAAAGACCCAATGGAAATGTTTGTGCTCTGTGTGTTTGACATTGCTGTGTGCTGCTGTAATGGAAGAATTTACCTGATCTTCACTACAACAGCCCTGTGGAAGTGTGTGTTACTTGGCACAGGAGTACACTGTAGGTTAGACTTGTAGTGTTTGCTTTTGGTCACCTTAATACTTCCATTTTTGATATTTATATAGTTGGTTGGGGTTACTCCTGTCCGGTCATTAATGTCAGTCTTGTTTGGATGTGTCTAAGTGACACTTTTGATGCAGATAACTTGATCTGTATTGGTAGATGCAATATTGTTCCCAATGTTGTACTAGGTTACTGATATTTCTTTATACTATGATGGAGTCCAAGAAACGCCATTATCTGCCACTGTGTAATGCTTTGTATTTAACTGTATTTAGCTTTGTATTTAACTGACTTGACATTTTTTTGCATGTTGCTGACTGTGTTAATTTGGCACATCTGCATTTGGGAGGAATTGTGTAGATTTAATATTTAAAACTAAACTTTTTCCTTCATAAGATCTTAGCAAAGCAGGATTGGTTATAACACAGAACAACCCTATAGATGCATTACACAGTGGCACAATATCCTGAAAGAAGCATCAAAGCTGCAGAAATTTGAATTGTTACCATTCAATCATACCAATTAGATTAAAACAGGATCCTCAGATTGGTCAGTTGAGTCTTGAGCCTAAATTTGAACGGTCAGGTTTAGTATCCAGGCAGTCTGTAACGTTAATGCAATGAGTTTTACTAAATCTGTGGGGAGAATTGCCATTCAGATTGTAGATCATGTTTCTTCCCCAAAACAATGATGTATATAATCTTTTTTTGGCAAATTGCCCACCACTGCTTAGACATGAAAGTGCCAGGTTTGGAGAGATGAAATCTGAGCTCTTAATGTTTTGGGGTTCATATTTTAATATTTTTTTAAATGCCTCTTAAATTTAACTCATTAGAAGAACTCAAACTACTTAGATTTACAAAACAAGTGTTTTTCAGGTATGCTTGAAATTTAAAGTATCTTTTGAGTTAAATAAAACAAATGAGTATTTATAATCCTATTTCTTTATAAATTAACACACGTTAACATCATTGATTTGTGCTCCTTTCAAAACTGTAACCTTTGCTTTTTCCCCCTCTAGATACCCCAACCTGAAGTCTGTGCGCGAGCTCGTCTACAAACGTGGGTACGGCAAGATCAGGAAACAGCGCATTGCCCTCACAGACAACGCTTTGGTGGAGAAGTCCCTCGGTATGGAAACGTTACAGTGCTGTTGAAAATGTTTGTAGTATACCTTTTAGGGAAATGGTTGGCGGTTGATGTGGTTAATGATGTACACTTTTTTCCCCGTCTTATCGACTTTGGTGAAAAAAAGGTTGAAAACTTTGCCAGTTAAGTCTGAAGCCACATGCCAACCTAACAGGACTTTACCAAAGAGAGATTTGTAGTTGATAATTCTTGGCTTGTACTGTATTTGTTGGTCAGATGTTTGGGAACATGAAATGGAAAGATGAGGCTTGCTTATCAAGCTCGAAGAGTTTTACTTTATGCCTGAAAAGATTGAAAACATCAGCGCTTCAAATGGCAGCAAGCACATCTGGAAATGAGTCTTGTTGTCTAAGTTAAAAAAAGAAAAGGCAGAGTTGCTCCAAGCAGTTTCATTCTTGGATTACCTCTATTGGTTTAATCAGCCCTTCGCTTTTAAAATTTTGAAATTAAACACTTAAATGCTAAAGCTGGCACACAGTTCAATTTATTAAACACTTTTTATCTGTAGGCAAATATGGCATCATCTGTGTTGAGGACCTCATCCATGAGATTTATACAGTTGGAAAGAACTTCAAGCCCGCCAACAACTTCATGTGGCCCTTCAAGCTGTCGTCCCCACGCGGTGGCATGAACAAGAAGACCACACACTTCGTGGAGGGAGGAGATGCCGGCAACAGGGAGGATCAGATCAACAGACTGATCAGGAGGATGAACTAAAGTCGTGGTGAGTTTCAGTGATATTTTGCAAGTTTTGAAAGTAGACTGATTCAATGTGGTTAATGATGCATATTCTTTTTTCCCCATCTTATCGACTATGGTGAAAACCACTTGTTAATAAGCCAACATTGTCTGAAACCACATCTTTAGTCATTGAGCTTTAAATCACCGACTGGGAGATCTTTCTCTTTGAAAATCTATTTAAATCCAAACATGGATACATGTTGAATGCTATCTATTTTTATTAAAGATGTGTTGCTGAGACTTTATATAACATCAGAATTCTTACCTCATTGTCTTATTTTCTTCCCCCAGGTTTTCAAAAGGACTCAAAATGTACAATAAAAATTTGGAGGAAAAAAACCTTCCTGGTCCTGTCATTAATGTGTAAATGTGTCATGAATCACGCAGGTTGTTTGGTATTTACGTGTGGGTGTGGTTGTGTACATTACTACTTGATATATTAGTAATATAATATCCAGCGTTAGCCCGTGTTAATATAATATCCACCCAGGGAGTTAACTGCATAAATTGGGTAGTTCTCAAGGACACACACTTTTAACTTGTAAAAATTAACTAAAAACTATATTTGAAGGCAATTTACTGCATTTATCAAATAATTGTGGGCTAGCTGTAGCCTGTATGGATAATGGATAAAATGCATTTATTTTTTTAAATTTTTTTTTTAGGTATTATAGGACATAGTATTTGGGTACATTTTTATTACCTAGCCTGGTTAGGAAACACAGAAAGCTAAATATAAAAAAAAAAAACAATGCAGGCGAATTTTGAAGCCTGTTTCCATGGTGACGTGATGACTCGTTAGCGTTGTACCAGAGTGAGCTGCAGCCTAGCACTGCTGCTCAGGGATAACCGGTTTTAACCCATGTACCGTTAGCTGTGTCGTAGCTGTGTATAGCACTAAGGTAATGTCTGAAGTAGATGTTCGTGCGGCTGCTCCATCATGATAACTTGCCAGTTAGACCCGTCGATAATCACCGTAAAGGGGCTAATATCCCGGGAAAGCTCGAACTGCGGGCAGCGCGGCCCTGATGCGGTTGGATATCCGACATACAGGAACTTGAGGATGGGAGCAGGTGGAGGGCAAGCGTCTTTAAGGCAAAGTCAACCAAGGAAATTTCCTGTTACACAACCTTTGAGCAGTGAGTAAGCGTGCTCCATAAATGTGCCAGATTCATTCAAAGAAGCTAGCCTAACGGTCCGTAAAATGCTGAGCGCTGTCTGTGTTGTAGAGTCCAGGGACGCGAAACCTCAGCTGACTGGCTTCATAATTGGAGGGTAAGCTATGTGAATATTTTGGAAGCTATAAAAACGCTACGCCACAGATATAATAAAAGAGATGTTCTCACAGTGTTTAACCACTATGCTAGTACAGACTGAAAGAGTGGGTAGCGTTACTGTTTCCGTGCCAGGCTTATATGGAAGACCCGAACTACTGTAATCCAACGTAATTAACACTAGATTATTTTATTTTATTTTTACCTATTATGTAAGTAAGGGAGGCTGGCACCTACTTATTGGCTACTCCACATCATCAGGCTTGCTCAAAAATACATAAAGATACGATTGCAAACATAAAATAAGACAAATTAATACGGAAGTTCCGTAAAAACAAATGTAAAAAATTGCATGGAGATGCAAATAAATACAAAGGAAAACGAAAACACCAATGCATTTCATTTTATCTCATACTGTATGAATAAAGCACATTTTTGAATATTTGTGCAATTAATTGCATATCAATATATTTATTCAGTCATTTAATTTTGATTATGGCATTTTTAGTGCTACATAGATAACCATAAATAATTCCTTCCTGTGTTCCATATCCAGCCCACAACATGAACCACTTATTTCCTTTATAGAGCCCTGTTTTAGGGTGAGTATGAGTATATTAAGGTATTTTACATGATAAAAGATCCAAGAATTATACATAAACGGACTGGTACTTATATAACTGAACACTCTTTGACTCAAGCCTCATTACATAATAATGTACATAATAATCACACTCACATTCATACAAGCACTAAGGACCTTGTCTAACATTCACACCCTGATGGATGCATTGGGGGTAACTTGGAATTCAGTATTTTGCCTAAGGGTAAGGATCCTTGCAGGACTTGCAGACTGGAAGAGCAGAGAAGTGAACCACCGACCTTCTGATTGGTAGATGACCCACTCCCTGAGACAAGGTCGCCCTGAATATAATGCTCAATAACACCAAGAAAATGTCATATTTTTAAATGAAAATCCATACTTTTTTGCATACTGAATAGGAAATACTGTCAAGACATTGCAAAAATAATGATTTGCTAATGAAACTTTATTGTAAAAGAATTGCCCATGTGCAGAAATCACAGAGCTGCAGATTTCAGCTGTCAGTTTTTTAATCTGGAAACTTTTCACCCCGTGCTTCCTGAATTGCTTACTGTAAGCCGGACTGGTTTGATCTGTATTTCATACGTAGCATATGGCCAGAGTGTTCCTACATCATCTCTCCAGGACTGAGATGCAGTGACTGTGCCGGCTACTCTATTAGACACAGAATACCAGCTGGCTGCTTCCTCTCTAGATAGTTCCCTGCAGTGAAACTGTGCTTTGGTTCATTGTACTGCTGAAAAATGAAATTAGCTCTGATTAAGTTGTGCCCAAAGCATATGGCATTACGCATATGCAAAATGTAGTAATAGTATTTTGCACATCCTTGTTCAAGATCCCTTTTCTGTTCTGTAGAAATCTTCTACTGTACCTGCTTGAAGGACAGTGTATGGACTCCTCCAGCATATTTTCCTTTCTACTACATTTACAATTGTTCTAACTTTCAAATCTAAATACCTTGATCTGCCCATAGTACATTTTCCAGTCTTCCCTTTGTCCAATGTGCTCTTCCCCCCTTTCTAATCTGTTAATTTTATTGGCTAGTCTCAGATTTAGCCTTTTCTTTGCACTTCTGCCCAGAAGACCATATTCACGAGTCACCTCTTGACCATTATCCAGTTCAGGACCCATGAGGCATCCCTGCTTCTGACACTAGAGACTCATACACTGGCCTTCTTTCTTAGTCATTTGAAGGGGTCTCTCACATATTTTTTATTGAGGTTGGTGTTAGCTGGTGCTGTTGAGCGAGTTAGTGGTATGAGAGTATCACAAACTATTGTATGAAATATTGTTTTGTTTGACAATTTTCCATACGGGAAATCACAAAAATACTGTGACAAGTTTCAGAGGGAAGATTGTTTTTTAAAATTCATATTGAGACTACAGTTGAACCCACAAAGCAGACGCTCAGCTTTAGCACAGCGCTAACATAATTATTGAAAAAGGGGGATTTCAAATCACCATTCAGCATTTTAACACGATAAAACTCCACTAGGGAACACAGCATGCCACTCGACAGTGGAAGTAATGATTGCTGAAGTTGGGCCTCCGCTACGCCTCCGCTGACTTTCCATTACAAATCAGTAATGGAAAATTATCAGTGAATCGTAAGTAATTCATGATGATTAATCATAAAGATTGTTACTGAAACCATTTTTATTTGATTTAATGTAAAAATAAAAAAGTATTTCTTTATAAAACTTTGACATTTGCTGGTGCCACGACATGTTTTTGTTTTTTTCTAGGTGGTATTCAACTATCTAAAATATAGAATCCACGTGTGCTGATATATTTTTCTCCAATTTTTCTAGGACGCCTACTTTAACCAAAGATGACAAGCTGGAGTTGCAAAACACCAACCCAGAGAGGGATCTCAGCGGGAGGCGCTTTCTGTTAGATAGAAAATGTAAGAACTGCAGAACAGGAGACAGCCTTATGTTAATAAAACTGAGAGGAAACTAAGGAGTTTCTTCTTACTTCCCCACTCAAAATGGGCTGAATTTAAATTTGTGGCATGGGGTTTGTGTGAACTGACTGCCAACAGGTGGAGCTGTTGTCTTACATAGTTTCTTTAGGTCCCTTTCCATTGACTCCAAAGTGGGACATTAGATACTTGCGGGAAACTTACAGATATAACCTGACAGTGGAATTAATGCAGAGCAATTTTCTTATTCCCTTTTTAAGGTGTGATGTTAGAGAGGACCAAAACTGTGATTCCTCCACTGCCAAGAGACTACCATGTGCACAGACCTGGTAACCTCCCATCCTTCAGCCTCTCCAAGGAGCTTTCCCACAGCCACACAGGGCGACCCTTCACCCTGGGGTAACCTTTGGATTAACATCTTTTGGGCAGCTTATTGTAGCTGGAATTTCTTTAAAAAAAAAGCATATTTCATGAGACAGCTGCACAGATATTAGTTATTATACTGAGTCACAGTCTCATGCAGGGTATGACAGATAACATGAAGAAAGAGAAACAGCAGCCAGATAAAAGTATTGTTTTGACACGCATGCATTATCTGTCAGAAAAAAAGAAAAGCTCGAGTAGCTTTTAATGTTTAATTTTCTGGCAGTTCAAGGGCGATTCTAGCTAGAACTGAAAATCATTATGCTGCACAAAAATATTATCTCAATAACAAATTATTCTCAATCTTCTATTTATGGGAAAAGTGGGGTTTGTTGGTCTGAAGCTTTGTAAAATGTCAGCTCTGCGTTCATTATACTCCTTAATGTTTTTACTTGCGTCTCCCAGGTACCCTGAAAGCTATAAACTGAACACAAATCCAGCCGTCCTCATTCCCTCAGCTTTAGTCCTCAGTGGCAGAAACACCTTTTCGGTTGAGAACTGCAAGCTTGGCAGGTATTTTGGCTTTCTAAACAAAATGTGACCAAGCCAGTGTTTTCAGTTAATTCTCAATGCAGCCACCTCTGTTGTGCTTGTGTCGTCTGCAGGCCCAAGGTGAAATATCCATCCTCCAACGTAATGACTGTTAAAAACAATCAGAAAAGTGAGTTCACTTCCTGCTTTGACTTCATTCTCAGCCTTAACACATCAGGTCCACATGTACTGCCTTTACAGCACACTTAGCTTTGAAGTGAAAAAACAAACAGCAAACAGTTTTTTGTGTTTTTATGTAACATGCGGCATATTATTCAAGAGTTTATCTCTAATTAAGATTATTATTACTTAATGACAGGGAAATGTGTGCAGGATATTTAGAGATTAAATATACCCTGTGCTTCTCTCCATCTCTTTCCATTTCTCTCGCCACACAGGCCAGTCCTATCCGGACCCAATAGCTGGAGCCTCTCGCTCTTACATCCACAGGATATCTGAGCTGTCCTCTCTGGAGGGCGAGACGGTGAGGCAGGAAAAGCTCAAGAAAATGAGAAAACCTCGAAAGACTCCATCCTGACAATCACCTCCTTCCCAGTCACACTGGTCGAGGTTAAAAACATTCGAGTCTGTGCCAACGACGGAACAGAATAAACCACTTAGGGCGCCATGTTCATTTCAGTGGCTCGTTCTGACTGCTTGTTTGTCCTCTGTGATATTAGTTTGCTGCTTGGTATGGCTGGTGGTTACATTCTGGGATTCTTAATTACATGTAGTACGGACTTGCTGCAACAATAAATGCCGGTGATGAATATTAGGTAAACATTTTCCAGTCTGACGCACAGCTGTCAGCAGTTTTCCACCCAGCACCTGCATGCAGGATATTTAATTTAGCTTTCTAATGGCTCTTGTATAATACAGCCATATTTCTTTCTGTATCATCTGTATCATATTTCATATGGTGTCCATCTTTGGCCTCATCGTTACCACAGTGTTTCAGACATACAGCATATCTAAGCTTTGTTAAGTAAGTGAAATATTGACATATATAGTAAATAGTTTAGCAAAGCCATTATTGTGCCTTGTTAACTGTCTTCCTGAAATTAAATAAATTTATTTTTGTTATTTTGAGGACCTTCCTTCATGTGTATACCTTTTCTTTCACCACACAGGTTAATATGTGGACCGTCACACCACTTTTTGGTGCAAACACTACATATAGACCACTACAATTAGCAAAATATGCATTCCATATTTACGAAACAGACACAAAACTGTGCCCCCAGATCTGAGAATGTGGTGCTGTCCCACGCAACGCAGCGTTTTGCTGCTGAATACTCTTGTTCATTGTATTTGACAGCAGCCATGCAACTGTCTATTTTTGTGTAGAGAGAAATCTGGACGTGTGCGGAAATATGAGACTTTTTTGAATAGATATAAAAAGAACTGGTCCTTATGCTACTTTCTACAGCCATCTATACTGGATAATTGTGCAGTATTTGGCTACATATTTGAACCATTAATTCATTACTTGAACTATTTATAAGTTTTGTCCCTTTGGTGGAAGTAAAGGTTGTGAAAATATCACATCTGACGTCATTTTAAAGTTTCTTTACAACCCTTTAAAATTTAATAAGATTAAATTAACTTGGCTCTGTGTGTAAATAAAGACGGAACAAGAAAAGAAAGAATGGCTGAAATCGTTTTTCCACTAATTGCTGATGCGTGTTATCACGCTGCTACAGCTCTCCTCTGCGTCACCCTGTGCCAATCAGAAAGACGCAGGGGAAACAGCTGAGATGAAGTTCTGTCGCTGAGATCATTTAGTGCTGAAAGTGACAGATGAAGGCTTCTACGTAGTCTGATATACATTTAAGAGAGTTTTTGTTTCAGTTATTGGTTTTTTTTCTCTTTTTGGCATTTCTGCTGGATTAAACAAAGCAGCAAGGGAGAGGAGAAGAAGCCATCATCAAGGATATCAGTCAGTATGCGCGCTCTGAAACTCAACTGTCAACTGTGTTTAATTTCAGGGAGTGTGTGCCTAAGCTCCCTATTAAATAGCACTGAGATGTTGTCAAACGTCAGGCTCTGTTTGCGTCCCTCCCTCCGCCGGGATTGTGAGGTGTGCATTTCAGGGGCACACAGTGACCTAGAAACACAGAGCCATCCCCTTATTCATACCAAGGGAAGGGGGTGCATGAATGCCCAAATGGAGGCCGGGGCTCCCTCTTCTTGCAGGGTTTTTAGCGTCCCTTTCAAGTGTAGTGAAACAAAATGACCTGGAACAAACAGTCAACAATGAGGTCTTTAATAGGAGCTGTTCTGGGGCCTGCCCACAAGTGGTTTATCGTTTCACTGTAGTTCCACGGGAACCTTGAACAAACGAGACAGTGCTGAATTAAAAGTTCAACTGTCTCTTAAGTCAAGGATCCGATAATGACGAAAACGCCAATTCATTTTATCTCACAAAAGGCATGAAAGCATCAGAAACACGTTTTATGAACTGAAAAAAAAAAGCCAGGTTGTGTTACTGTTTCACCTGACTTGACATTGTGCCGGGTGACTCTATCAGCAAGGATCAGAGAATGTAGCCTGTGTGCCAACACCTCAGATCAAAAATCTCCCAAATATGCTGTGCTGCTATATAAATTTTGATGAGACAAGGTTTCCTCGAAACAGTTCAGGAGACTCAGATGTAAGTTTTTATTATTATTCACTGTGGCTGACTTGATAACACGTGTTCTTGCTGATCATTTTATCTTCCCACTTCTGGTTTTGTCCTTAAACTATGTGCATTTTTATACTAGAGAAAAACTCGTGCTCGTTCCTTTTATTCATTCAGATGTGGTGCATTTTTAATTTTTGCTTACAACTCAGCTTTTTGTCCTTCACGATGCTGCAGTCTCGGCTCGGTATAACATAGACAGATGCCAGGAAAAGACTTTGAGGCCACCGAGATAGACAGGCACCAAAGATAGGCTCCAAGGCCACTCTTCATGCTGAACAGAGTCCTTTAGTTTGAGCAATTTAGGCTTTTCTGACAGAGAGGAAGAAACCCTGTGCTAACATCGCTATTAGGTATGAGATGAAAAGAGCCAGCTCGAGTCTGTGGACAAGCACAGCGCTTTTCTATATTGAAAGTGTTGATCATATGCAGTTTGCCGTGCACAACAATTATCACTTCGTTTGTATACTCTGTACCCCGTGTGTCTGGATTAGCATAAAAAAGGAAACATGTCTGGTAGTCTGTAGTTTGTCAGTGGTCTAAAAATTATGTTTAAGGATCCTAAAAGACAGTTATACAGTGATAAAAAAGAGGTCAAATCTTTTTTTGTCTTTTTCAGAACATCGTATAAAAAACCAAAACAACAACAATTGTAATTTTATCATTTCAAAATGTTTGCACACAGGTCAGGTGACATTTATTTATTTTCATGTCATCAATCTATCCTACCAGAGTGATCTGTTATTCACAGGCATCAGTGAAATTTGAGGTTTGGTAAAGATATATATATTTACACACTTTGCCCTTGACAGAGAAACGCACGCATGCATGCGCACTAGCCCGAGGCCCTAACCTCTCCACTGCTGTGTGACATTTAACGATGTGATTTATGAAATCTACCCCGATAGCTCCACCCTGCCACCTAGCCATTATCATTACTCGAAGCGTCATCTCTCTCAGGGGCAGGGTTCGGTTTCACTCCCCACCCACACATCTTGACTCATCTGCCGGCTGCTGCTAATGTCCGCATTGATTTACATACATATGGATCCATATGCCAGGTGAGGTGACTCATGAGGGGACAATTATCAGTGACGATGTCAGGATCAGGCAGGAGAAAAACTTTCATCAATGTCATTACACTGGCAGCTCTCCAAGGCCAGCCAGCTTGTAGAGCCATTGCTAGAGTGTCATCAGTCCTCTCCGGGGCCTATCCAGCAGTAATGACCTGTAATGAATGGAGTATCATTAGAAGGACGTACAGAACGTCTTGCCATAATAGACGCTGTTGTAAGTGCGACATGAAGAGCAAGGCTCACTGAGTGTTTGCACTGTGAATACGCCCTTTTAAGAACTTTTAAAAGTGTGATTTGGTGACTCGCACTAAGTCAAACACCAAACTTCTCAACTCATTAAATAATAACTCATGCCACTGTGTGGCATAGATCCATGCAAGAAATAGGATAAAATGCCCGTGCATGGATGAACTCAAGTTACAATAAAGGAAACTACTGAAACTCAGTTAAATAAGAACAGATAATAAGAACAGACGGTGCAAAACACTCCCGCACTTGGAAAACCACCCAAATGTACAAATGTAGACGTGAAAGAATGTGCTATAAATTGAGAAGATAATAGACAAAGGCTTCCATTCATGTGGGAGGAACTGACTGTACTCATCAGGAAGAAAGAAACTCGAACTAATTACTTCGACCAGCTCTAATCAAATATTCTCTAAGAACAAACATTTGGGTCTGTTTTCGCTTTGATGTTGCTTTTTTGTTTTTTCAATAGAAAGGCTTAAAAATAAAGTTTCTTTGCAGCACAGAGAAAGCGTTTTCTTAGTCATGGATGACATCATCTTTACAACACATGCCATCTTGTAAAGGTAAATTCTAGTATTTGTCAACCAGAGCTTTTGATGTCAAGAAACCTTTTGAAACTATGGAAACCCAGGTCAAGTCTTCCCTTGAGGAGAGCCAGTTTACATTCCCCATATAGATGAGATGAAGCTAGGGCTGACCCTTCTACCTTCCCACTGCAAGAAGGGGAGGACAGCAGACTTTCATTCATTACTAAATCGATCTTTCTTTGTATCTCCTTCTATCTCTGCTCTTGCCCCAAATGAAGGGGATGGATGACGCAGCAACTTGCGACACTGTTTGGAGATCATAAATATGCTCTATTACTGCTCCCCGTCTTGAGAAACATTAACCGATGTACACTAAGATGACTGGGTGTGTTGCTGTAAGGCTGATTGTCTCCGACAAATGAGCAGTAAGGGCAGGAGGTCCATGGCTGGGAGCCTGTCACATGGAAAACACACATGCTTTGATGTGCGCTTCCTTCATGCTGAGGCTGATGCTGCTGAACGTCTTGCATCAGTGGACAGATCAAATCAGCACTATAGTTGGTTAAAACGGTTAAAAAGTAAGAGACTTCACAGCTGGGATTATTTATTGTGTTTAATATTTGTAGATTTAACTTTAACGTACTTTAACTTTAACTTAACTTTAACTGATTCAGACACTTGCTTCTTAGCGATGCCTCTGCTGATGATTGTGGTGGAGATGAAGGCTATTACTGTCGCTTGACCTACCTGCTCCATAGCATGAAGAATAATCAAAGGACCCAGCCAGACCCCCTTGTGAAAGATTATTTTTCAAGACAGCGAAGTATCCAGTTATTACTAGTGTCTACCTCTTCAATAGCAGGAGGCGTGAGGAGGCCTCATTTCCTGCTGATGCTCCCTGCAGAGGCCCCATTTGTTGGCCGTAATAATGTGGAAGAGGCTGAGCTTCTTCAGCAACAGTAACAGTCAGGCCCCCTGGAGCATATAAGTAAAAAATGGTTTTTGTCTGCCCTCTCCAATTTGTCATCATCAATCAGCAGCAGCATTAGAAATCCTTGCCATATATTGTGTAGCCCTCCATCATGCCATTAAAGAGGGCACGACTGGGCTTGTCCTGCATTATAAAGTTGATAGTCTTTCATTTCACATTGAGGAGTTTCAGTTTTTACTGAAAAATTATGAATTGCGCATTATATTAACACTACACTGTGGTTTGTAAATAATGCAAACTGGAGCTCCTGTGCAACATACAGCACTGTGAAAAAGTATTTGCCTCCTAAACCTAATAACTGTTTGTGCCACCTTTGGCAGCATGAACTGCAATCAAGCGTTTGCGATAACTAGCAGCGAGTCTTTTGCATCACTGTGGAGGAATTTTTGACCCACTTGTCTTTGCAGAATCGTTTTAATTTATCTACATTTGGGGGTTGTTTGAGGTCATACCAAAGCACTTCAACTTGAATTATGGCTGGACTTTGACTAGGCCACTGCAAACCCTCTTTTTGTTTTGTTGGGCCATTCAGAGATGGACCTGCAGGTGTGTTTTGGATCATTGTCCTGCTGCTTAAGCTGAGGGCTCTTGAGCTTTAGGGCATGAACTGATTTCTCCTTCATGATCATCTGGTAAAGAGCAGAATTCATGGTTCCATCTATTATAACAAGTCCTCCAGACTTTGAAAAAGCAGAGCAGCGCGAGACCATCATATATTCTTTTTATAAAAGGCTCGAAATGTCTCGTCATACCACAGAATATTTTCTCAGAAGTCTTGGGGATCTTCAAGATGTTTTTTGGCAAATGTGAGATGAGTCTTTTTATCCTTTTTGATCAGCTGTGGTTTCCTACTGGGAACTCTCCCATGGAGGAGATTTTATCTCTTTATTATTGTTGAATCGTGAACTCTGACCTTGACTGAGGCAAGTGAGTGAAGTTCTTTTCATGTTGTTCTGGGTTCTTTTGGGAGCTCCTGGATGAGTCACGGGGCGATCGTGGCTCAAGAGTTGGGAGTTCGCCTTGTAATCGGAAGGTTGCCGGTTCGAGCCCCGGCTTGGACAGTCTCGGTTGTTGTGTCCTCGGGCAAGATACTTCACCCGTTGCCTACTGGTGGTGCCAGTGTCCGGCAGCCTCGCCTCTGTCAGTGCGCCCCAGGGTGGCTGTGGCTACAATGTAGCTTGCCATCACCAGTGTGTGAATGGGTGGATGACTGGATATGTAAAGCACTTTGGTGTCCTTAGGGACTAAAAAAGCGCTATACAAATACAGGCCATTTACCATTTACAGGCCATGGGTGTGTTCTTGGAGTGATTTTGGTAGGCTCATGTGAAGGTTCACCACTGTTCTACATTTTCTCACTGTGGTTTGCTGGAGCCCCAAATCCTTAGAAAAGTGTTTGTAAATCAAAATATGTGGTTAATGACAATTAATTTATGATTTAGAAGAGGTGCAACTACTTTGTCATACATGCCCAAGTAGGTTTGGATAGGTTGTTTTCCTTATTAATAAATAAAATAATCAGTTAAAAACTGCATTTTGTATTTACTCAGGTTATTTTTTTTTACTTATATTATAATTAGTGTGATGAACAGAAACATTTAAGTGTTACAAATACGGAAAAAATAAGAAATCAGGAAGGGGGCAGATAATGTTTTCTTAGCATTGTATTTAAACGGGTTTCCATGTTGTATGCAGTTTATAACAGTATATAACAGGTTATCAGTGATTGGTAAAAGGAGATATTTTGGGAAATATGATTCTTTGTTTCCTTGATAAGACTGATACCACTTTCTTGTTTGCCTTCATAATATGACCTACAACCAGTAGATGGTTATTTTAGATAAGCACAAAACTGGAAACAAAGTCAAGAAGGAATTAGCTTCCAGCATTTAGGAATTGAGTAGTGCATTAAAAGTCCTTTGTTTTTGTTTAAAACAAATAGCACACATGTTCAGAATTGCAGGAAACAACTGCACGCATAAAACAATTACCTTATTTATGGCTGAGCTCAGGGGAAGCTGATATGTAGATTTTTTTTGACAGCCTCTGACCCAGTGAAGCTAATCTTTAGTCTACGTAAACCTCACAAGCAAAACAAGCACACAGACAAAATCATACCCGAACGGTTTGGATTTCTGCTGGATTACAGGAACTTGAAAGGGAAAGAGAAAAAGGGAGAGAGGTGAGAAGGGGACGGTGTTATACAGTAGAACAATTGATTGGAGACCTGCCAAATTCTCACATTCCTCCCTTTCTTTTGGGACTCGGAAACCTGGGGTGGCAGAAGGTCACAGGTATTCTGAAGAAAGAGGGTCAGAAAAAAGGTAAACAAGAATAAGGCAGGTAAGAAAGAGGCAAAAAAGAAAGAACAGAGGCGGGATGGTAAAGCATGCATCACCAGCTCACCCCTCCCTTGTCCTCATCGTCTCCTCCCGAGTGTGATCGACTGGAGGGAGGTGCTCAGCTGGGAACAGGGAGAGAGACACCAGCTTTGAGGAAAGGCAGGCACACACAACACGAAAGCCAGTGCTGGAATTGGGTGTTTTGTACTGTAGGTTGCATTGCAGACCTGTTTCTGGAGGGAAACTGAAGGGCTGGACACAGGAGACGGACACAGGAATTCCAGGTCACAAGGGCTCCTGTGGCAGAGCTCAGTCCTGGCTGGGTTGGGCTGGGCTGGTATTCCAACCTCTCCCTCTCACGGTCACGAGCATGAAAGAAGCAGAACCAGAGCAGGAGTAAACACAGGTAGAGACGTGTGTGAGCACAGTCTGGGGGGAAACCAAGAGGCTGGCATCTTACTTCAGAGGTTGACTTCTGGCCTCACTCCATCATGATGGGATTCTCTGTTCAGTTTGCCTGCTGGTTGCTGGTAGTTTTTGCTCTAGGTGAGAACCACCTGGTGAGTGGAGGTTGTTCAGGGAAGTGCTGCAGAGGCAGAGACACAAACTGTTTGACCACTGACTGGAGGATGGACCGTGTGCACGGCACATGCTACTGTGATGAAGGCTGCGTCAGAACTAAAGACTGCTGCTTTGACTACTTCACAGAGTGTCCAGGTGAGTGATGAATGGATGGAACTGTTTATTTTTTGGTGCGCACCTTAACTTTATGATACCCGACCTCTTGCTATCTTCTAAATCTGTTGTCCAGAAGATAAAACAAGACAAATTATCCCCACTATCTGGTCATTAGTGGGCTGCTTATCACACAACATACCTCTAATGAGAGAAGTGGCATGGGTGGATGCGTTCCACATTTTCCCATAGATGTCAAATTGTGTGCATTTAACTTCAGTCCTTTCCTGTCTTTTGTTGTTTTCTTCAGCTTCTAACATGGCGCAAACCCCACATAATCTCTGATTTTGTGTTTCTTGCATGTGTCTCACCTGCCACATTACAAAAAATAATCAGCACACCAAATAACCCCAGTAGCTCTGAGCCTAACCTCATTTCAGTGGGCTGGCTGGCCCACATAATGGAATTAGTACAAATATTTTAAGAATGTGGTTCTGTCAATCAGTTGTAGCGATAACAGCTACAGTCAAACAAGCTAGGCACATTTAATATGTGTTATGGGCCAGTAGTGACTAAATCCGAATGTTTAATGCATCAAAGTGGAATCATAGAGCAGGCACAAAGAAAATAAATCACAGGACTCAGTCACTGATTGAGCGGCGCACTTGGCGCACTGTCAGAATACTTGTATCAGAGCAGGAAGCACTAATTCCACAAGTCACAATCGATGCTTCATTAATCCAAAGTTATTTCCTGGATATTGAGTCACATTCCACTCTTCCACCGGAATATTATAATTATTCATCCCTTAAAGAACAATGGTATATCTTACTGTCGATGGGAATTGTAATCCTGGCACAAAAGCTAAGATCTTAGGGAGTGAGTCTTTGGTTTAAATGCAGTTTAATTGTTCGCTGCAACAGAGGATTTCCTCTAATAACGTTTCTCTCTTGATACTGGTGCCAACATCCAGCTCAGGACTGTGTTGTGAGCGACTGGAGCTTTTGGAGCGGCTGTGCCAAACCCTGCCAGCCTTCGGTGCGAATCCGTGTTCGTCACATAGAGCAGCAGCCCCACAACAGTGGCCAGCCCTGCCCCGGCCTTGAGCAACGAGCTGGCTGCAGGGAATACAGAGACCACCTGGGTAGACACTGTGGCTTCAATTCAGGTATACAACCAGATGAACACTCTCTGGTTTTACTGTATCTGCATTTTTGTGTGTGTGTGTGTGTGTGTGAAGTTGCATGCATATTTTCTTGCATTTGAGCCTGTTTTGTAATTCATAGATGATCTGGTTTCTCTTATCAGGTCCTGCATTCATCACCAGCATGGCGTTTGCCAAGGGAAGGCCCAAGCACGACAGCTACGGAAACCCCCTAAACCCTGGGTAGGTTTCATATCATGGTACTATAAAGCCTGCAGACGCTCTCTGAAACTGCACAGACCTCAAGAATCTTTAAATTCAAGAGTTGAAAGGTTCATGAATGCTTTCAGGGGAAAAACCTCTTTTTTTGTGCTTTGTATCACAAATGAAATTGAAAGGAGAAAACAGCTCAACGTTTTCCAACCAACGAGCTACCTGTAGGTGTTTGCCCACCTGGCCTTCTGTCTACAGACCATTAAACATAGCGATGCTGAAAGACTGCCAACAATCCTTTGAAATTAAATACTCAAGGCTGTCACATGAAAAGCGCATACACAAAAGGTTGGGATGACAGTAGGTGCGGTATTGCGAGCAGTTCAAAGCATCTATATGCTTAATTATTGTTATTCCTTTCATTAGAGCTGTGTCCCTGCTACTGGGGATAAAGTGGGTTTTTCTTTTTTACTGATCAGTAATTCCCAATATCGCCTAACCAAGTGATGATGCCTCGATGTCGCTCTCCTGTGCGTTAAGGGTTTATTTTGTTTGAATTCTACTGTCTCAGTATTCCAGGATTTATTTGTTCACCTTCATTACTCTAATCCTGTCGCCCTTTAGGTTTTGTGTGGAATTCAAGCTAGAGTCACGGACGCCCCACTGCACTGTGGAGAACCGGCCTCACACACTGTGGATGCGCTACATAACAGAGGGCTTTAACGTGTGTGTGGCATGTGAACCTCCTGCCATGCGAAACAATACCAGCAGCTGCCAGGGAGACGGTCAGGAATCAGACAAGTATGCAGTTATCGGCCATTTTACATGTGTTTTTCCTCCAGTCCAGATATATTTAAACTGTTTGGCTGTTTACCAAAACACATTTAATTTACAGCTGAATGTGGTCTAAAAGGGCAGACTCTCAGCTTTTATTCTTTTTTTTTTTTTTTACAAACTGAAGGAACGTTTAGGAATGGTGGTTATTTATTATGTAGCCCCCTTTTTCTTTAGGGACCAAAATATCTGACTGAAAAGCTGCTTCATGGACAGATGTGGGCTTCTCGGCTTATTTTTTGAGCAATTTTGAACGTAAAACATCTGGAAAAATTCCGAGTGTACCATTTGCATTTGAAAACTGTGGGTTTGAACCCACAACTTCCAGATTTCAGTGGATTTCTACCTATGTGGTATGTGACTTTTGTTGCCATGATGCCAGGTCTCTCTTGGAAATGAGATTTTTAATCTCAATGAGATTTAAAAACCTGTGAGAGAGGTGGAACTTTAGAAGTGGTGAATGTTTAACAAAGAGATAATAACTCAATGGTGTGCTAAGCAAAGTAAAAAGGCATGATTTTCCATTGATAATTAGATAATTGTAGATGATCCGTTTCACGGTAAAAGAACACCCCTCATAACACCTAACCAAGTGGTGAACATTGCCCAGGGGCAGAAAAAACAAATTTAAACATCTAAAAATACCAGACAAGTTGTGAAACAGCATTTGTTTGGACTAATGAAAGTATAATATGTATGTTTCGTTATTTGAAGCATACAGCAATACTTGCAAGATGGAAGACAGAATGAGATGGGAACACAAGCCAATCGAGCATGCACTTCAATTCCTGAAGAGCAAACTAAATGGCAAAAAAACTAAAGGCCTGGAAAACCATCAGGAAGGAGGAAACTCATCAGTGTGCATGGCTTTCAGTCAGTCTGTCAACCATAACTAACAAAATCCTAAAAGGTAAACATTTTGGTTATGATTATGCTCACTTATCCAGTTTGAGCCCCTGAAAGGAGCTGAATTAAAGCTGAAAGTCTGCATTGAAATTGCATTGCACTTTAATCTATTGCACTACCGTACAGAGCCAAAGTTATGGAAATTGTGTTCCTGTCTACAACGCCCTAACTGCACGATTTCACATAAAAATCTAAATCAGTTCATAAAACTTAAAACAGCTACAAAATTAGTCCACCTTCTGCTTCAACACTTAATGTGCCCTTGCCTTAAGCTAAGCAGTGCTGAGATCTTGTGAAATTACTATGTGAAACCATGTGCATAAAGTGGTATGAAACCAGTGGTTTAACTGTGCTGCAGGGAGACTGTGCTCCACTGGCAGGCGGTGGGGAACCCACAGTGCAGCGGGACTTGGAAGAAGATCCAGAAAACTCAGCGGTGCGCCTGTCCGCCACAACACAGTTTTGTCTTCATCTGATATTGGATTTCACGTGAACATCTAAAAACCAATCATCAGTGGGCAGCCTCAACACATCGTCTCTCTATCAACACTAAGAGGAGGCCTAATTTTGCAGATATGTCTTTTAATATGGTCCAGATCAGTGTAAAGTATTTTTAAATAGCAGATTTTCATACACATTAAAATAGAAAGACACTTGTACAGCATTCCACCTTTTCCTCACACACATTAAGCACACTTCCTTTTATTTTGGTTATAAAACAATGCTATTGTACGCAAATGTCTTGTCTTACACCTTATTTATCTAAAAAACAAACAAACGTGGCCTTAAATATAAAAAACTAAAAACTTTTACATCGTTTCCTGTGATTGCTCTCTGGTGGTATGACTGGGTGCACACAGCAGCAGCAAAGCACATACACTGACACGGTTAAGCTTTAGCTGGTCAGCTAAAAAAGACTAAATGAGTGAAATATGCTCAGAGCATTGTCACATTGTTACACATCGTCAAATTTACCCAGTCACAGCAGACCAACTTACCCAGATCACCGTTCTGTGCTTGAGCACCCTCTGGTGGTAAATTGTTTCAGTGCAAACATAGCAGAGCATGCAACTAAAACCATTAAAAAAAAAAATCAATAGAAAAATCAGGTGATTTTATTTACAGGTCAAATGCTACATTGTACGAATTAGAGAAGCTCTGTGTGTCTTTATCCCACTTCATGTGCCCTCGTTAGAACTCTCCAGCGGTCTTTGAGCATGGTGCCGGTGCGTCCTTCAAAGTCATAATCCATTAAGATACGAGACCACTTCCCCTGCCCGTGACGTTTAACACCATCCTTGAGGTACTTGTCCAGCTGGGAGGTCCATTTCTAGATAAAAAGGAAAAACCATAAACTCCTGCTTTCTATGCTTAAAGGAATATTTATAACTCCTTAAACTGATTTGTGGATTAATTGGTTCTACTTACTTGAGGGGGTTTTCTTGTTTTTTGTGCCTTTTTTGTGTCTGGTGAATTTTCTGTCATCTGGGATAACTCTGATGCTGTAAGGTTTGAAATTAATTTACTTGTATTCAGGCTCAAATATGATGTGCTGGTAAATAAATTTCAAAAGAAAAATTCAGAAACCATTCAAAGCCACAAGGAAATTAAAACCCACCATTACTGGAGATTCGACGTAGAGAAAAATGACGCTTCTTGCATGTATCAGGCTTCCACACATCTGTATTTATGGTTGAGAGTAGTTTCCGTTTTGGTCTGTGGAAGAGTAATACAGTGCGACACAATTATTTCCTTAACCTACACGTGTAATTTAAGTGACCCTGAATGTGACGTGGCAGTACTTCAGACACTGCAGATTTACTGGGATTTTCACAACCATCTCTAGAGAATGGTCCCAAAAGAGAAAATGCCCAGTGAGCCACAGTTCTCTGGGTGAAAATCCCTTGTTGATTTTAGGGGAGAATGGAAACATGGCTTTGAGCTGGTGGGAAAATATGCTGCAGGACAGCAACTCTGACTGCGCATCAAACGTCAAAGAAGATGCGCGACAGCAGCAGAAGGGCACACTGCACATCCTGATGGTGGGGGTCAGAATTTGGCACAAACAATATGAAAACACGGTTCAGGCTGGTGCTGTAGGGAATATTTTCTTGGCACACCTGTCCCCGAAATAGGATTTATGCTACTATGTGAAATCTATGTCACAGGTACCTAATCAGAAACCCCTCTGAAACTCACACCCCAACTACTTTGAGTGGCCTCTTGATTCCTCCTGTGCATTTCCTGCTTCTTTCGAATGAATCATTGAGAGAACATCAATCCCTGCGTCAACATATGGACTCTCAGATTGAATTCCTCGAGGGAGATTCCTTAAACTATCAGGACTGATGTGAGGGGATGTAAAAAGAAGTGGAAAAACTTCACCAAGGACACTTTTTTTTAGCCTCTGGGGAGAAAACAAAACTAAACAAAAAACCCCAAAAGAAACTGGAAAAAGGGGACCTAGGAAGAGAAGACGTCCTAGAATCATTTAGGCTGGCAGAGGATATAAAAGATTGGGACATAACTGTAACGCGTAGTGCACAAGTGTGAATGCCGGCAAAGGCATTGGCCACAAAAGTCTGAATCAGCCATTAGTACCAAGCAAGCATTGTTACAATGCCACAGGCTGCCTGAATATTGCCATATGTCCATCCCTTTATGGCCACAGTACACCCATGTTCTGATGGCTGTGTGCCATGCCACAAAGCTCAGACCATCTCAAACTCGTTTCTTGAACACAACATGAGTTCACTGTACTGAAATGACCTCCACAGTCACCAGATCTCAATCAAAGAGGGCAGCTTTGGGATGTGGTGGAACAGGAGATTCATACCATGGATGTGCAGTTGACAAATCTGCAGCAACTGTGCGATGCTATCATTTCAATATAGACCAAAATAACTGAGGAATGTTTCGAGCACCTTGTTGAATCTGTGCGATGAAGCATCAAGGTGGTTTGGAAAGCAAAATGGGCTCCAATACAGTACTAGCGAGGTGTACCTAATAATATGTCTGGTGAGTGTTAAACATATTCTTACTGACCTGTGACATGTGGTGTTTCCTTTCCTGTTAGGACATAAATAAAACTGAATATTTAGCATGAAGGAGAAGCAGAGTTTAAATAAATGAGGCTTTTCAAAAATACTACGACTTACTTTCTGTCCTCCGTGACATCACTGGCCTTCTTTGAAAGAGAGCTGTCCCGGGGCCCCTCGTCCTCCAAACCTTCAGTTTTGTGTGAGGACTGCACCATCTTTGAAGCTGCCTGATGATCAGAGAGGTAGACATAACACAGACATTTAGCTCTGCTAATTTATGCATATAAATATGACCCTTTCATAAACTTCTAAAAACAACTAACTTTCTGGTCTAAGTACTGCTGTAATGAAAAGCAAAATTAATGAGGGCAGTCATTAGCATACCCTTCCAAGTACAGCCATCAAGAGGTCATTGGCTTGCGTAAATCATTCATAAAACTTTCCTGAATAAGCGAGTCTGTTAGGCCCTGAGGACGACTCTACAGAATGCAGCAGTTTGCCCTTCCAACTAATTTGATGACAAATTGTCAATTAGCTATGACTGATAACGTCACATCAGCACCTTCAGTTGGTCTGAGCGCCATTACTCAGGAGGATAAGAGCGTAGTTTCAGCACAAAAGGAGAAAACAAGAGGAGGAGAAATTAATATCTGCAAAAATTTGTGTAAGCATTGCCTGTTAACTACCGAGAAACTTTGGACACCTCATGTACACCCATCAGCAAGCCACAGCATTAAAACCAGCGCTGTGATTATCTCTTCACAACAATCCAGAGGTGCGATATATCAGGCAGCAAGTGTCAGAGCTTGAAGTCCACGTGTCAAAAGCAGAAAAAAGTGGGCGAGCACAGATCTGTGGATTTTATGATGATGGCCAAACTGTAACTGTTATGCAGCCCCAGAGTCCCATGATGACAAGTGTCCACTGATCGGTGCATTTACCCAAAAAACCTTCCATCTCACTAAGAGTGCAAAGGGGTTTTTATACATTTTGGCTTGGACATAAGTTTGGAGAGACAAGGCTGAGATGGTTTCGACATGTGCAGAGATGGAGGTATGTAGTGAAAAAGCATATGCAGAAGGTTGGTGTGACAAAAGACGATGCTAAAGAAAGGGTGAGATGATCCGCTGCGGTGCCCCTAAAGCAGAAATCCAAAAAAAGTCGACAATACTTTTTGCAAAAAAAACCAAAACATTTCTAAGAGTTTAAAGTGAATTTTAAACTTACAACTTAGGAAATAAAATATTCAGCCCAGAACCTGAAACATAATACGTATAAATATATCTAGTCTAGTTTTTTAAACAAATATTTTAATTTACTCTGTGAACACAGTGCTGTATGACTTGTAGAAACTCAGTATGTAGGCCTGACAAACAACTTGTGAACTAAGGTTGGGATGGACATCATGTTGGCCTTGATTTTAAAGTAGTAGGGCTTTAAATAACTGAGACACGAACCTGTAGGTTTTAAAGGTTATTCTCAAAATTCTCAGAATTGTGATCTCAATATTGACAATGATAGTAGTGAGTGTGATTTTTCACATAGTTGAGCAGACCTGTGTTCCAATCTCATTCTGATACTGGCTGTGACATAAAACACAGGTTCTGCAGGTGCTGTACCTTGAGAAGGTAGTCAGAAGGATTCTCCTCCAAATAGGCATCCAAGTAGGACTGGACTGTCTCTAGCAGGCGACTGAAGCTGAAGCTCATGAGGAATGGGTGGTAAGTCTCAGCCTGTGCAACTATTTTCGAAAGCTTAACTCTTAAACCCTGTTAAAACACATTAGTTGTTAAAATCGCTTAAAATCTGTTACTGAATAATTAAAACGTTCCAAAATTGACCTTTATTTTGAAAAGGAAAGGGAGAATAACTGCCATACAGACCTGTGGAAGTTCAAGGTTATTCTCAAACCACCTGAGGGCAGAGGAGGCAGAAGACCTTTCACCCTTCTCCAAGCAGACAGCAACAGACTAGGCACAGGGTAAATGTATGACATTAGACTCAAAATCAATACATGCAGCCAACATCAGGACTTAAAGCCTGCTCGTTTCATAATCAAACATCTGTATAGTTTCAGCACTGGTGTTGTGTTTTCCCCCCCACATAGTAAAATGTTTAGTTCCCTCAAAGAGAGCTAAAGGAAAACCACCAGCACTGCAATGGATCGTGTTTGAACTAGTTTTGTTAATCACCGTTTCTTTTACTCAAGCATGACGCTCCTTTGTGCTCTCAAAATTGAAAAATGCATATGAGGTGAAACAAACTCTTTCCCTATATTGTTTGTAGCTCAATTACAAGTGAAGTAATCCCCCAAAGGCCCATACTGAGGCAGGAAAAACAAAGCAAAACTTTATTACCTGTACAATCAAAAGGATGGCAACGTTTTTAAACAAACTTTCGTCTGCCACAGTGTTTTTGAGGTCTGACCAGAGTCTGGCAGCCGACATCAGAGGCATCACAGAGGCATCATCTTCAAACTGCACATCTGAAGAAAAACAGTGTTTTACAGGACAAGGAAACAGGAAGCCAACTAGGATGAAGGACAGAAAGAGTCTGCTGCTGTTTTTTTTGTTGTTTTTTTTAGTAAAACAGTATACCCCCAGCGACCACTTTATTAGGTACAACTACTCAGCTCCTTGTTAACGTAAATATCTAGTAAGTAAGTAGTAAGTACATGGCAGAAACTCAATGCAGGTAGACACTGTCAAGATGGGATGTGGATGTAACGGGAGATTTAGATCATGCTGACAAATAACCACAATTCTAGGCCACGGAAAGTTAATGCATCACTGATGAAGAGACAGGTGGGTATATACATTTTTAGTCAGTGATTTCCAACCCCTTTCTCATCTTTAATAGTTTTTAATGTAGCTTGCCATCGCCAGTGTGTGAATGGGTGAATGACTGAATGTAGTGTGAAGCGCTTTGGGGTCCTTAGGGACTAGAAAAGCGCTATACAAATGCAGACCATTTTAATAGTTTTTAATGTGTATTTAAAAAACTGTGGCATCATGTTTTCTTACCCAGCAGCTTTCCGTGCATGACTCTTGCCAGGAAGTCACAGATCTTTGCTTTCTCATTTCTCTTAGGAGATAATTTCTGAATGGCTGAGGAAAAAAAGAATAAATGAAAAAAAAAAAATGTGTTAGGCACAACATTTTCAGAAACTTTGTGAAGACTTATACGTACACGTATATTTACATTAAAGTTACCAACGAGAGGTTCTTCCTCTCGTTTTTCTGAGTAAAGGTGCCAGTTGCATTTAACAACAACATGACAGGTCTTAACAAAAAAATGAAAAAATACATAAAAATAGACATGGCTTAAAGAGTTTCACCTCGGACGCTGTTTTGGCGTCTACTCCTTAAACATATCTCACCTTTATATCTGTCATATTTTACGTGATATTTGGTTCTTTTATGTTTGTCTTTACCAACTTTTAAACTTTAACTAATGGTAAACTTGGGAAGCTAATCTAACACCATTGGAATAATCATAAATTAAGCATAAATATACGTAACCTAGGTGCCTCACTCACTCTGGAAAGCTGAGAGCGTTTCGTTGAATTCATCACGTTTGCTCTCCTTAAAACGCCGACACAAACTTAGAAACATGAAGTCCGACATCCATCCTGTAGCTACGGCGGTAATGTTAGAAAAACTGACACCTTCTTCGATGCTATTTACATCTGAAGCGGTTCTGTTATTATTTTCAGCCGCCATGTTTATGTGTATTCCTGTTTTTCTTTTAAAAACACCCGCGCGCTCACCATTTACCAGCCAGTTTGAATTCGCTAATTGGACTGCAGCGCCCTCTGGCGTTCAGGAGGAGTAACTAAATATCAATATCACCTTGTTCAGATCGTGCCAAAACAATTTGAGGCAACTGCAAGTTGAAGAAGTTGTTCACTGCATTAAGTTTCAGATATAACTTGTAGACTCGTAGGGTAGTATTTAATTTTAGGTATAAAGCAATTCTCAACCTTTTATGCAGTCAAACTTTGAAAACTTGCCTTTTGTATTGTGGAGAACATTTGAGTACAGAAAACTCACTCTCATGTTTAAGATTTGAGGTTTATGACTTGCCATGTTACCCTGCTGAAGTAGCCTCTTAGCTGACAGGAGTGGCACCTGATGTGGTCGTCTTCTGCTGCAGCCCATCAAGCCGTTTCCCTCTGACCTCTGGCATTGACAATTTTTTTGGGGTGGGATGCCTTGGGAACATTTTCTTTTTATTGGATCATTCACTGTGAACCATACAGGTTGTGCAGGGTATCAGGTGAAATCAGCTGAGTATAACAGTTATAATAGTTATAACAGCCTTAACTTTGTTTACTTTTCTGATTGTATCAGTTCTTTCATTAGGACCCTTCATGGAACTTGGAAGCAGGTCTGGAAGAACTGATTGTAGCAACAAAAATGTGTTTGTGTGTGTTTTTTGTAAATAAAAATACATTTGTAATAAATATTTTGTTGCCATTTGTGTTATTTCTTTCTTATTTCTGACCCATTTTAGGCAATGAGTCATAAATTCAGAATTTTCCAAATATGTAATTATATTATCTTAACTTATCCACCTGGTAATCCAGCAAATCAGTGACTTATCTTCCTCCCCTCACCCCTAACAAGCCAAGGGGTACATGGCTACCCCTCCTTAAGCCTGGTTCTTCCTGTTAAAAGAGACTTTTCTCTTCCCTCTGTCACCAAAATGCTTGCTCACAGGGGGTCATATGCTTGTTAGGATTTTCTCTGTATCATTGCAGGGTCTTTACCTTAAAATGTAAAGCACTTTAAGGTGCTATATTTGGTGCTATATAAATAAAATTGAATTGAATGAGAACCTTCACATGCAGTTAACACTGTAAGTATGTTTTTATCAGAAATGACCTTTTCCCCTAAACCTAACAGAAACCTAAAGTGTAACTATTTAACCTGACCAAATAATTTTATTCCTAAACTAACCAGAAATGACCATAAAGATAAAGTTAAAGACAGAAAAAAATATAAAACTAAGTAAAATTGTTGCCACACTAGAAGCGAAGAAACTATGTGAATGCCTCTGCCACCACACCACGAGCCTTATTTGGGCTTAACTGGTTTTTACATTGCAAATTATTATTGGACAGAGAATGCATTTCCCTCTAAACACACTGTAAATGTTGTTTAGTTGCATTGGAACATGCCTGGAAATGCACACTTACATTAATTGCATCGAACGAAACGCATTTCCGTTCTGTAATAAATCATTTATCAACCAGCCAAACTGCTGAGTTGTCCACACTTCTGTATATGGAAAACAACTTTGCTTTCTTGCAGCAAATGCAACATATTATTTTAATTCGTGTCCTGATTCGAACTTTTTTCCCCCTCTTTTTTACTTTCCTGGCCTACAATCATCATCTCACATGCAGAGCAGGGAACACCAAACACACAAACGCAGGAGTTATACATTTATTTGTTATTCTGCATATGCTAATAGACGTAATGAGGAACAATGCTCTACACAAATGTTGACATACATACCATAACAAAGTGTTCTGTGGTCACATAATTGTTCAGACTACTACATGCATACAAAGATGTTGCTTTGTACAGAAACAGTCTGTAGGTCAGGATGTGTCTTGATGATAATGCTCTCTCAAAGCTGAACAGAAAAAAACAATGGAGGAGGCAGAATATACAGAGATATAAGGACAAACAATGATGCTGTTTGCATTTTAAGGAGCAAGGTAAGCAGGTATGAGTGACACGGACAATACCCATTCTCTCAGAGAGGGTAAAGACACGACGTTTCCACTCTGTACAGCATCACAGATGAATACGCCATCATGAGACAGTAAGACAGAGCACAGTCCTTTTTGCTGTCAGTTCACAGAATTAGCTGCAGTATCCACACAAACTTTATCCGGAGGGGATACAGCTGATCAATCCAAATCCCTTGTTTCTCTACCCTATCTGTCAAAATGAAAGATTACTCGAGGCTAACACAGAGACATGATTACTACAAACAAGGGATGAAGGATTAATTGGAGTACAGAAAAAAAGTACAAGCTTACAAACAAGAAGGTTACGATCTAACCTCCCTTTATTATAAAGAAAAAAAAGAGATGAAAGTTCAAACGAAGACCACCGCTGACTCCGCATTTTACTTCAGAGAATACCAAAGAATCTGAGTTTCTGATGAGGGATCGGTAATATCACAAAGGTAACTCCATGAGGTCTCACATGAATCTCTGAACACTGAGTCAGAATATGCTACTTTGGGCAAATCGTATGTACACAGACAAAAGAAAGAAAATATGGACCACAACTGACACAATGTAACCATTTGGGAGAACCATTTCTTTTCTTGTCCTCGCCTTGTTTTTACCCACTCGTAGCTATTCCTGAGGGCATGCCATGGGGTTAGAGCTTCTGAAGCCGGAGGGCCCGGCGCACTCACTGGTGTCAGCATGGGAAATAATCAGATGGATCAGCTCAGAGACAGCAGGGATCTCTTCCTGGCTGTAGCTGCGCTCCCTCTTTGCCTCCCTTAATGGTCAGATGCCCATCCCTTTGTTTGTACTTCTTCCTGCCTCTCCGAAGACTGATGGGAGTGGATACTGAATGTGGTACACACATTACTCAGAAGAAGGGAGAAATATTGCAGCTCCCTGTTCTGGAAGCCAAGACATCGAAGTGGATTTTGACAACAACACTTCTCAAAAAGTACAGAAGCAGCTAGCTGACATTAGCTGTTCAAGAAAAACAAAACAAAACAGATAATCTATCCAATCAGAACATCAGAGAGTTATAGAAAACCTGAGAACTCAATATCATTACTTGTTTCTATTACATAAAGACCTGATTTTTCCTATAAAATTAGAATTTTTTTTTCTGTACAGTGCTATATGAACAAAGCAAAATGACTCGCTACCTTCTCATAAACAGCCGTGTTATGAAAAGGCACGCATCATTTCAACCACCATATGGCAGGAAATTGTGGTCGTGCTCCATTTTGGTTTAGAAAAAATAGACTCATTCTCCACGATAATTCACAAAAAACAGAAAATTGTTTGTTTGTGGCCATTAAAATTAGATAATGTTAATATCTTCCACACATTTGCTAGATTTTTTTTATGTAAATCTAACAGGAGTATAAAAGGCCCTGGTGGTCAATTTGGATTCTTATTCCGACAGATAATCAAATTTGAGGTCCATTAATACCTGGCTTTAAGGTGCTCAACAGCATTATGCCAGTCACGCAATACGAAAAAGTAAAAGTCAGATTCTCATTTGCATTGTTTGTGAGATCCTAGTAGTCGTAATACTCTTTTTGCCTCATATTAAAGATATAACACCTGAAAAATACAAGTAAATTTTGCCTGTACACTTACAAATTCCCATAGACATAAAATAAAGTGCCACAATTCTTGGCCTGCATAGATTGCAGTATGCGATATTGCACATTCCACACCTTTCAGTAAAACAAACAAACAACCAAAATATGATTAGCGAAAAAGAATGATAACAAGAAAGAAAACAACAAAATAGTTCACCCACGTTCCTTCCTATCACTGCCATTCCGGTTTGTGTGGCTTTCACAAACTCCTCGCTAGTCTACGCCGACATGTGTCACGCCGAAAGAAATAAACAAATATTCCAGCAATAAATTGGAATCAAAGGCAACGTAGAACAGACATATTTTCAGTCAGTGTAAAACAAAAGCAAGAGAGACGACGAGAGAAAAAAAATCCTTTGGGTTTAAGTTTGACTGAAAATTGTTCACAATAAAACACGATAAATTACAGTCCGAGACACCACAGATATACAAAAAAATGCCTTAAACTTATCAGCAGGATTGGGTAAAGTTGCAGTAGTATGGAACAAAGGTCAACATTGACATGAGGCTGCTGAGGATGGGCCAATGAACACAATGCAGGTAAACAAACTATAATGAAAAAAAAAACAAAACTCCAAAAGCATACCTACTGTCAAAATACATGTTATTACCATATATGTTATAATGCATTCGAGATAGAAGAAAGCTTGCCAGTGTGCTTGATTTGGTCCATTGATATCAGAAGGAATACTGTCATTTTTTGTTGTTGTAATCTACCCCTTTTAAAAAGCCAAAATAGATAATGATAGCGTAACGCATATATCTGTGTTAATGACCAAATCTACCTTGGTGAATAATAAGTCTTACCTCTTTTTTTTGTTTTTTTAAATGGAGTCTCACCTACATATTGTAGACTTTTCCTACAACCAATCTAGCCCTACTTATCACGTTTCATTCTTAAAACTACTTTTAGATAGATAGATATATTTATTTATATAATTGATGTTAGAGAGTAAATAAGATCATTTCCTCTGATTTGGATGGAATCAAAAGGCTGAACGAGGAGCATCTTAAATCTCGTGATAAATATTGTCAGTAGCTTTAGTGTCTGATAGTTCATCTTCTTACTGGTTTGATAAATACTTGGCAACTACAGGTGTTTTTTTTTGGTGGTTTTTTTTTTTTTTTTTTAGAGAGAATTCAAGGTGTTTTTATCTTTCTTTCCCACATTCATGAATTCAAAGATGCTCAAACTGAAAGTTCAACAGCTTCTATGAAAAACAAATATATTAATCTCAACGTTACAGTTTCATCTGTTATTCACGAGAAAAAAACCAACCAAACAAAACATAAACGAAACAAAACAAAGAAACAGGGCCATCATGAGAACACTTTGCATTGCCACAAAAGGTAATGATATGTTTCTTTTTTTTATAGGTCGCTACGATGCAACACCCAATCTGAGGGCTGTCTATCCAAACCCCTACCCCTTCTTTTTCACATTACAAATATTAGTACCCTCAGTGACTGTCTTCCCTTGCCATCTTGTGCATTGTCATTGCCTTAGATGTCCTAGTATTTACAGTGGAGCGCTTTCAGCAAACTAAGCACCGTAAAATATCTGTCCTTTGATTTTTAAAAAAAAAGCATGCTTTTACAGTTCCTCTGTGCATTTCCTTCTTTTGCTAGAAAAGGAGACGTTATGTACATCTGGAGGACCTGCGTGTACGTGATTTGATGAATTCTCTGTTTCTCAAAAGTGTCCTCTTTGAGCCCACTGTTTTTCCAGGATCTGCACAAAGCACTGCAGTTTCTTTTTCTGCAATTCAACAACAACACAAGTATAAGAGACTTGTCATGCCATGCAAAAAGATCTTTCGCCACCGCTGCACCCTTGACTTTCCTCCCTGCTCTCCCAAACTTCAGGCTGAGGTTGTACTAGGTCTGTTGTCCCTCAAATGTCCCTTACATTCACATGCTGGTTTCACATGTTGGAGAGAGGCTGCCATCCCCGGGTATCAGGTGGATATCGGATGTAAACATGTGGTTCTCTACTTTGTGTCCACTTTGGTTGCTGTCAGGCTTAACCTCCTCACCTGCCCCAACCACACCTTGGGTGCTATTTTGTGCTGCTGTCTTGGGTGACAATGGTGCAACCGCTGCTCCCGCCACCTCCATCAGGTGCTTCTCCTCATGATTCTCTGTGGATTGTGAATCTTCATCCCCTGGTGGGGTGTCCACCACCAGCCTCTTAGGGGCCAGAGGGCAGACGTCTTCCATTGTGACTGGAAGAAGCCCCTCTGAACTAGGGATGAGTGGTGATGTCTCTCCCACTGGAGACTCATCTTCCAGGATGCTGGAGCTGATGTCTCCAGGAGAAGTAGTACTGGGTGGTGTCAGAGGGCCTTCAGCAGAGGTCTTTGTGTAATTGACCTTCAACCCTTTTATTTTTAGAGGATTAATCCGTCTTGGAGAGCCCTGGATATTCTCCACAGCACTGTTAAAGCTTTCCCCTTCGTCTATGTAGAGCTCTGATCCATCACTTGGGTTGACAGACTCATAGAGACCATCTTTAAGAAACCTCTGGTCATCACTGGGCCTCAGTAAGCTAAGATTCAGAGGTGGCGGGGCCCTGGGGTGTCTGATATGACATGATCTAGCATCCTCCTCGCCTGAGTTTGAGCTCTGTTTTTCGATGCCAGCTGAACAGCTTCCAAAGTTTTCTGGCAAGGAGGGCTGGACTTCCTTCATCTCCATCCCCACCTCCTCTTTTAATGCAAATTCAGGGCTCTGGGATTTCTTCGGTGATGCCGGGGCAGTCATAGTTGTGCTCAGAGTGCTCATGGAGCTTGTAGTGTTGAGATTGCTGAAGGACTGTGACTTGGTTATTTGACTATACATCTCCTCCAGTGTTTGAGCACTAAGGTGCTGTGGGGTCCTGCTTGTCCGCTGTGGACTTCCAGTTGTGGTGATGGTTATGTGATGGGGAGAACTTTCGGGTAGAAACTCTGGGTTTCTTTTGTCAGGTGATTTCAGATGGGTTTCAGAAGAGGCATGCCTGGTATGGCTGCCCCAGCGGCTAGGCGACAGATGGTTCTCAAGAGGCGTCTTGTTTTCTCCTTTATCTACCGCTACATCTATCAGTTCCATACTACGAGCAAAGGCATCTTTTAGGTTCATTGACACAATGCTACCATTCCTTCTGGCTCTCTCCAGAGCCTCCCTTCTCTTGATGGCTTTCTCCTGCCTCTTCTGCTCTTTGTAGAACTCAGAGAAGTTGTTTACAATGATGGGGATTGGTAGGGCAATGACAAGTACACCTGCAATGCAACACAGTCCACCGACAATCTTTCCAAGCAACGTCTGTGGGTAAATGTCACCGTAGCCCACTGTAGTCATTGTAATGGTGGCCCACCAGAATGAGGCAGGAATACTGGTGAATTTGGTGGCATCTTCATCTTTTTCAGCAAAGAAGACCAAGCTGGAAAATATCATGATGCCCATGGCAAGAAATAAGATAAGTAGCCCCAGTTCATTGTAGCTCCTTCTCAAAGTAAATCCTAAAGACTGGAGCCCCGTGGAGTGCCTGGCCAACTTCAGGATCCTCAGTATTCTCATGATTCTGAATATCTGCACCACACGACGCACATTTTGGAACTGCAGCACACTCCTATTCGACTCTGTTAGGAATATGGTGACATAGTAGGGCAAAATGGCCAGCAAGTCAATAACATTAAGTGGGCCTTTGAAGAATTTCCACTTATTCGGAGAAGACAGGAAGCGAAGGAGGTACTCCATGGTGAACCAGGCAATACACACGGCCTCCACATGGGCCAGGTTGGGGTTATCATTGAAATGGCCAAACTCATCTTTGTGCTGAAGCTCTGGTAAAGTGTTGAGGGAAAGTGCGATGGTGGAGAGGACGATAAACAGTATTGATATGATGGCTAGAATCTGAAAAGAGAGACAGAAATGAAGAAAGTATTAGTTTAACACTGGTAGAGGACACACTCTGAATAATCAGGGCTGCCTGATTTGCATTAAGGATTTTAAAAGATGTATAAATAAAGGTCTCCACTATATGATATGAATCTAATGGAGGGTCTGTCTTTGGTTCAAAGGCACTGTGGGCGTGCTCATGAATATCAGAGCTCCATTATCCATATAAAGAATATAGAATATGCTAGAGTATTACATAAGGATAGGTCAGCAAGATAATGGAAAATGACACAAGGAACCAATGAGTGATTAAATGAATGAAGCATTGCGGAGCTTACTGACTGAGAAGTCATTTAAATAAGGGTAGTAAGTAGGGCAGAAATCTGTTTAGATAATAACTGTGAGCGCGCACGTGAGTGTATGTGTGTGTGTGTGTGTGTGTGTGTAGTCCCATCTACACCACATGAAAGAATAAAAGGATTTTGGCGCCATCTGTTGGCAAATGTCTAAAACTTCCCCTTTCATTCATTACTTTCACTTTAAAAAATGCACAAAGCTTTACAAATATTGTTTCTTCTTATGAAACATACAGTGAAAATGTTGTTTCCCGTATGCTCATTTGAACAGTGAGGGGATGGGTATAATAATAATCTTGTATAATGCCATGAGGTCAGCACAGCATAAAGCTGAGTTTTAGCTGCAGCTCTTTATCTCGATGAGGATTTATAGAAACTGATTGATTAAATCTGGCCTTAGATGCACTGACTATGATTGAATATTTATAAAACAAGTGTGTCATCTATATATGGCGAAGACATTATGTTACGTGATGAGCTGAATATCTTCCCTCTTGCGCTGCAACTACACATAAAACTCTTTACAATGCTGCTGGGGTTAGCTGATGTCCTCTTTTTATTCCTCTCCAGTTCAACTCTGCTCAGCTGAGCGTCTCTTCCCACACAGGTGAAGCATCTCTGCACTACACTCGGTGCAACCCTGCATCACAACATCGACTGAAATCCAGGACGTGAAAAATTAGCATTCTTTTGTGCAAAGCCCTCTGTGACTCGAGCAATATAAAGCCTATTAAAATGTAATGAAGAGAGATTGAAGCGACTCAGTCAAATAGGAAAACAAGGCACGCTGAATACTAATCACAAATCACATTAAGTTGCAGAACACATTGATGATCTTACATAAATTTACAATGTGTAGTCTGGAGACGCTCACAGTATCTCCGCAGAGACTTCATTAATTTAGCAAATATTACATATTGGCAATACTTTTTTTTTCTTTCTTGCAGTGGTTAGGGGTCAACCACTTCTGTAGTCCATCCATTAGCCTGTGGCTAACAATGACAAGCTGGAAAAAGTGGTCAGAAGGCTAGTGGCATTTCCTGAAGCAAACATATATAAATGCATTTTTTTTTGTTGTTGCTGTTTTTAAATGAAGCAGGATCTCTTCTACTAATGCAGAGGAAAAATGGAATCATAAAGCAGAATAAAGAAGGTGGTGTCCTGGCTCAGCAGAGGAAGTGTTATCGCTAAATGAATGCTGGTACTGATTAGGTTAAACCTATTAGCAGCTAAGTGAGGCAACTCAGGGCAAGCTTGGCACTGAGCTGTGGAGTCATAGTAAGGACGCAGATTGCTTCCATACCCCTCAACTTTTTGGCAAGTGCATTTCAGGCTCACTCCCTGCTGCCAAACAATTTGATCGGAAGACCTTTGCTTGTACTCTTGTTTCTGAACAGCAACAAGGTAGAAGAGCAGATAAGAGCACGAGATAATAATTTTGGGGGTATACTGTGTCTTACACAGATGATTTTCTGATGTGGTACAGTATGGAGCGGAGTATATGTAAATAAGATTTACTGACATGCAGGCAAGAGGTAAGTCATTCTTCAGAGGTCGATTCTTTATTTAGATTTTACATTAACTGCCTCAGAGGACACAGTTAATCTTCTGCTGTTCCACACTTCAAAAGCTACACTATGAACAGCTGAAAGAATGGACATGCGGGCACGGACACAAACACACAGACAGAGACAAACTGATTAATGTTTTCATTGACCCATAGCCCCGCTGTCTCACTTTCACACACCCAAGCAACCTGTGTTCAGTAAATGCCGTGTAAGCTCGGGGATAAGAAGCGCTGAGGTGGCTTGCATTAACCTACTATTATTGAGTGGGAGTAGTTAAGAAGATCAATTACTTGGACTCCTCTTTTCTCATGATTTGCATCCGCGGTTGCATTAAGTATAGCATCAAATGTCGTGAGTGGTGGATTAAAAAACAAAGAACAAAATAAAAAAAAGAAAGCACAGTAACCTAGACGTGACTGTGAGGACGAAGGCTAACAGACACAGGAAGTGAAAGAAGATTTTTCACAGATGCGGCCACTTTCTAATCTGTGGAGCTTCTCTCTGAACTGTTAGATAACTGAGATTAAACTATCTGTCAATTCCACCACTGACCGATGTGCCTGCACGAACCTTGGCAAAACGGTGAATGCTTGTTGTGTTAAAATGAAGCAATTTCATTTAAAAGCAATTAAGAAAGTTAAATATCAAACTACTGGTAATTATAACTTTATTATATACATAAATTTTATACTCATCTATCAAAATATATTTGCTGCTCCTGATTGGCTTAGACAGGCGGTCAATGCATGGAGATGATTAGCTGGTGTTTGACATACTTTAGCTGCATGTGACCAATCGGGCTGCTGTACTCCCTCTCCACTGGCTCTATAGTAGCAGACAGCTTATTGTGCTCTGAATAATAAGAGCACAATCAGGCCAAATCGTACACACGAGTGGGTCTGTACGGCAGACTTTTGTTGTAATGTGCATCACATGGACTTTCAGATGTATGCAGAGAAGATTTGCCTATTCTTTAAAACCTCATAGAGTCAATCACTTCACAGGAGAGGAGTTTGGCCTGATGTCACAACATCGATTTTCCTTGAGCTCTCTCCCTTTGATCTGAGTTGTCATGTTGCTCCCAGAAAGAAACATTTGAATAATACCTGCATTTTTACATTGCATTATTTTGGTTAGTATGTTATGTGATGAGCTCACGCCCATGAGGTGTGCTCATCTTGGATCACCTAATGTGCATTGCTCTTGGTAGCTGTCTTGCTTTCATACATTTAAGCATTTTTAGCAGATCACCCACGGGAAAAAACAAAACAGACAGCTTAGCACGACTGCACTGGGAAGCTGGTTCACTTTGAGATTTACAATGAGGGAGACGACTAACAAAATAAAGTTCTGAGTGTCATGTCTTACTTTTGGAGCTCAACCGATACATGGTAGGACTATCACAGTTTTCCTGGTATTTGGAGATAAACTATTTCCTTATATGAAAAGTTAATACATAAAAAGATGTTTGGGATAATTGAAACATGAAGCCGTCATGTGGTTTTTCACAACAAAGCAGCTCCAACTGTAGCACTGTTGGCTCCACATGTAGCAGAGAATGCATAACAACTGAGCAGAAGGTGGTTCAGATCAATTCAGTGCAATAGTTTTTATAAAGTGTCAAATCCCAACAGTCACATGAAGGCACTTTATTTTGTAAGGTAAAGACCCGACAACAACACAGAGAAAAACCCAACAATCAGATGACGATGTCAAGAGGTTACATTTGGAACAGGTACTGTCACCAAAAAAACCTAAAATAAGCAAATGCTCTTTAGCAAACACACTCTCCTCATGATTTAATTCCGCAGATCCTTAAAAGTAATTGAAGATATCCTGGGTGGACAGAGAATGGGGAGTGAAGTTGATCCAGAGGAGAAAACATGCAGGAGTCATGGCATTAAGAGCCCTCTTGAGTCACTTTTCTGTGCCTCTCTTGAGCTTTATCTTCAGCCATCTGTCATCTCAACCACTTCTCCTGAAATTGCAAGAATCACCTTTCTACATCCTCCTCAAGAGGTCGTCAATAGAGGCACTAACTCTTCTATAAGTGTCCTGTCATCAGTGGCAGCTCATGATTGCACAACTACGTCCCTTTTATTGCGTCACCTCCTCTGCCTGCATTCGCATCGTTCCTGACTTTGAGAGGGGAAAGCTCTTGTGAGGATGAAAAATATTCTGCACCACACCAGTGGCCCACCTGCCAGCTAGGTGGAGGCTATTGATTGTGTACACATCAAATTATGGACACTGAGCCAAGTCCAGCAAGAACCTATTGATAACCCTGCCCGAAGCTCTTATGGACTAAGATCCACCCCACAAGTCCCCACTGGCCAAACCTCCCCCACTTGGTTCATCAATTTGCGCTTGACAAATTGAGCCTTTCCTCAGGTATGATAATTTTTTGCTGCAGAATCAATCCAGATGATTATGGCTATGGTAATGTGGATTGATTTCAGGAGTTGTGTGGTATTTAATCTTCTTGGTCTGTATCTCTTCGAGTGTTATGACCCCATAAGATGTTGGATGGCACATGACAACTTGGCTTTGTGCAAAGTCTACTTTGCTAACGTAATGAATTACTTTATTAAGTTTACACGTGCCCACTGCGCTATTATTCTCATTATTAGATGCACATGCAGGATGTAGGTATAATCCCCTTTGTGCATAAATTCTGCTAATTAGCAATTGACAACAATTAATGGAAGCAGTGAACAAACATGATAAGACACATAGCTGGAATATTACTTAAATACACACACCCTTAGAGAGACCAAATATAAATCAGCAGCAAAGCAGGGGGGGTCCCCACCCTTCCTACACCATTCTGTCTGGTTGAGTGCCTTTACTATGGCCAGTTTCCAAGGCATTCACCAAGAAAGGGAGAGCAAGAGAGAAACAGAAAGAGATGGTGATATTTGTTGGCCATCAAATGTTTTGTTCCGTAGATCCTCCGAGGTTCAGAGAGGTTTGGAGAACTGCCCAGCCATTACGATTTCAGCCTCAATTCTAAAGCCATTAGTCTGCAGAAAAAATTACCAAGTTCATAAAGCACTGGGGACAAAAAAAAAAAACGATGAATCTGATCCAA